GTCATTTTTCTGTAGGTGGACGTGCCAGTTGGCCAATTGAGATCATTTTAATGTCGAGCTTTTATTTAGCAACGCAAATAATCGATTTAAATTTCAAATCGATATATGCTATAATCTGTAAATGACTGATTTATTATTGTCACTGTATAATAGTATTGTATTATATCTTTCGGTTTGTACATACTTACGTATTGTTTTTGTTGTAGTTGACTTTGTCATCCATGCTTTTCGCACTGAAGAGGTAAAGTGAACTTAGACGGCCCGAAGTTTGGTTTTCTAACTTAATCTTGTGATAACCCAAGTTCTGACGACAGGCTAGAGGCAGGCGAAGAGATTTCCCACTGATCAAGAGTATACATATTTTATTGAATCTTTGGTTCATATATTATAATTGGGATGACGAAACTGTCATTAAATCCAAGTTACTCCTTGTGAGTTCTTTGACAAGAAATACTTTCTAATCATCGCTATGGCTCCAAATGTAGATAAGACATTCATATTTTTAGAGTCGTTTCGAATTTTTGGAAAAACTATTCATATTTCTCAGTCACTTACAATATTTTCTCGGCAAAGTTGTGTTTTTTACAACATTACATCATATGAATTGTTATCCTGATCCTAATTTTGCCACAACTTCTGCAATATTGTTTTATTGAAATTACTCACAAAACCAACGTAACAAATATTTTTTATTACTTCATATTATTCGTAATACACTACTTTGACACCGATGTTAATAGATCGGTTTCAACGCTTTTTTGCTATTGCAATCGAGTTCCTTCTAAAGTTTCCCGTTACTCCAGCTTTTCGGTGTAGAAGATATTATAAGCTACAAATGACTTCTCATGATCAGGGAAACCGCTTGTGGATATTTGATCGCAATGTAGAACTAACGAGCTGCCAGAGATACATAGAATATCTAGCAGCGTGTAAGACTGGGTAATTACATTTTATATACTTTCGATCCGGAATTTCGCTTACCATTGGAATGCGTGATATCAAAACTCTTTTGTCGAACTGTATGTGGTAAGGATAATTTTTCTCAGTGCAAGATATTTCATGGTGATTGTAATTTTACCGCGTTCGTAGAGATTTATGATGAAAAAAACTTTTTTATCATCTTAAATTTTGTGGTTTATTTCTTCAGCACACAGAAGAGCGTGTGGCAATCTAATTTATGCATTTGTGTATCCTTGTGCAAGGTGCTGGGAAACTTGTGTAACAAATTTAATGGTTTTAGTTGAAATTGAAAAATATAATTTGCTACCCTGGTCAGATTTATAATCATAAAACATTTTGAAAGCATATGAGAAAGGACTAAATGTTAAGAAAAAATTATGTTTCGTTTACGGCAAAACTTTTGGTAGTCGCTATCTCTCCTATCTCTCATCATTTCGTCATAAAATGAAACAAATTATTTCGTCAATATATGTCTGTTCTTTAAATATGAAATGTTAGGTAAGTATAAGACATAACACACACACATTGCATAGTCTGACACATACAGCTATTAGTCTGACATAATGCACTCATTATGGTATATAAAGTACAGTATACACACCCTTGCCGTAACATATTCAAATATAGCGTATATGACACAAAGTCAACACAAAGCTCATAACGATATAATAAAAACAGGTTTTATAGCCGCGCAAAGTCGATCTTTAAATACACTACTTCGCTTCTCCTAAAGCAATCATCTCTTTCTTTTCGAAATATCAAAAATTAAACTCTCTTGTGCGGTAACCCTGTACGGTAGGCGAATAGAAACGGAAGTGAGAAATGCTAGTATAATTACACAATAAGAAAATGTATGCATTTGGTTTAAGTGCAACCACTAGAGGTTTAAAAAAAGTTGCTACACTCTCTTATAAGTTTTTGTACGAACCCTAATATGCAAGGGGTTTCGCAAAAGACCATATATATGAATCAGAGAACATTTTTATTTCATCTAAGTTTTCCACGTTTAAGTAAGAGGTTGAAATCCTATTTTTTATCGACATTTGTCGATAAACATTTAGAATCGGATAAATTTTTTCAAAAGAGTGTACGTCTTGGGAAGCATTAGGGGGAAAAGGCTGATCTAGAATAACGTTCGTTTTGATCCAAAATACCCGAAATGGCGACTTGGAGGTTCATCGTAGGAATCTCTGGGCTGTCATCGAAGTGGTAAACAGACAAAAAGACTTAAATTGATTCAAGAAATGATAATCAGTATAATAAAAGATCGGTCTATCCAAAGTTTCTCTGGAATTTGCTAACATCCGAAAAAGTTGGATAAATCTCTTCTCAAAGCTGTTATTGTGGTATATAATTGTGGAAAGGAGAGTCAGTTGGCAAGAGTAAATTGATAAGATTTGCATTTTTAGTAATAGTCAGCGGAGCTACGGACACTTTCGATCTTTTTCAAGTATTACGCAACCGGCAAAAATGATTCGAAGATGTGGTTACATTTTGATAAAGCACGTAATCATTAACAGGTTATCGTATACTTATGATGTTTCCTTCTATCTATATTTCTGGGTTTTCTTGGCAGGAAAACATTTCGTGAACTTTTTATCCAAGACACTTCATTATTCGCTTCTTAAGGAGTTTGTGACGAACGTAGATCAACGCTGGGCGCAAGTAATGAATTCAGGCTTCTGGTTTAGGTGATTTAGTAAATCCATTCTTTATGAAATGTCGTCTGATTCATATTTAGAGTTAAAGCAAGCGATGTGAAAAATTTTTTCTCCCCATCACTTATTATGTTACCGTCTAACTACAACAACGCAGTCAAGAAAAATTACATTTTGAAGCTTTTCGTATTGATCTGAAAATACTTCTGCCTCTTTCTTGATCTAACAAAAAGCAATTCAAAGTTTCAAAATGATGCTTGCTTGAATATTCTTGTCATATAATCGAAACTAGCAACCACCAAAAAAACTTTTGAGTGTTTAAACATTAACACAACGCTAATTACTCTGAGGTAAAGCAAAATTTGCTAAAACTCTATTTTATAACGTCAACGATGTTTTTTTGAATTTTTTTTTTTTTTTTTTTATTATTGCATGCAATTTGTGTGCATCTAAGAAGAAAGTTTCTAAAATTGTTTTGATTGCCATTCAAGAGAAAATGAAGGGGGAGGCATCGAATTGAGGTTAAATAAAGCAGGTCAGAGTTAAGACATGGAAAATTGGCCAAACTAGATGTGTACGCTTTTATGCGCAGTAATTAGAAATTTAAAGAGACCAGAAAAATTCATATGTTTAAGAAAAAAAAAATTTATAAATATGCTTGAAAAATTTTGTACATATATACGTAGTATATAAATAGATTAAGATATAATTAACACATCACATAGTAAATCTGCTGTCTGACATACATACGGTATCACTCCTATCATGATTTCCATATAGTACCTTCAAACGAAACTTGGCTAAATTTCGTGACATGCTGACAAGTAGTTACGAGTTACATTTTTTTTGGTGACTACTTTTGTAACTTCCAAAATAATGGAAATATCTGAATTTCCTGTGTTGATTACAAACGTTGCTTTTTTATAAAACAAAAACACGGTCACAGTCAGCATTGGCTTAGAGGTGGTTTAGGAATTTTAAACAAAATCATGTGGATACCAACGATATTGACCCTTCCAGCCGCACAAATTCGGCGGACTTTTCAGAAAACAAAAAAAAAACCACAAAAGCCCTTTCGGAATATTGGAAAGCGGAGTTGCGTGAAATAACTGACATTTTAAAAATATCGGAAGACAGTATGTCTATTGCATTACATGAGCGTTTAAGCATTAGAAAACTCTGCGCGACATATGTGCCGCCTTTGCTTGTTGATGACTCAGACCGTTTTTTGTCACTGTTCAGACCAAGTAGAAAGGATTTTTTCATGCGATATGACAGTAGATGGAACCTGGATTCATTAATCGGTAGTTAGACGGGAAACTATCTTTACCATTTTAGAACGGTCACACTTTGTTTGTTTGTTACGAACTTTGAACTGGACCAAAGCTGATGCAGAACTTTCATCGGCGAACAAATTTTTTCTTATCCTTTAAAGTGTAAGGAATTTCTCTCTCTGCATGCGTATTCATGGCTGTGCTTAAACTAACTGTTTATTATTTAACTATACAGGATTCGAAATAATTCGAAATCTTCGAATAAACTATGAATGATAACATTTCAATTATTTTCATGACCCTCATAGGTGACTGGGCATCAGTTCATGATAAGTAAAGTCGTAAGATTAGGTTTAAAACTGATTAGAGGAGAAGGCAATGTATATGTGGCATCATTTTACGCGCTCTAAAACGCATATTAGTGCAACATAACTTTCTTATCTTTCCCTCAAATACTTTTTTTTATTCGATATAAAGTAGCAGAGGACATCAAAGTATTTGTCAAAATGAAAAGTAGAACATAAGACAAAACGATGTTAATGAATCTGTCTACAGTTGTGAAAAACAATTACGTTTAGTTACAGTTGACATGATTTCTTTCTGTCTATCGTTTTGCACGTAATAATAAACATTGAAGTTTTGCTAACATTTTTGTATTGTTTGTAACATCTCTAGAGATGTTATATTTTATGAGCTATATTTATATATATATATATATATATATATATTTATAGATATATATATGATATTAGTTCTTTTCAAAAGCTATTATTTTCCTAATAGGTGTGCAAAGACTCGGTAGAAATAGTTTAAAATTATCTTCTATTTTCCTTAAGATTCCTTAACGACAAAGGACGCTTGCACAATTAAAAACAGGAAGAAATTGTATTTAGCTCTTGTGCAGATAGCAGCTGTAGGTTGTTTTGAACGGCTGCTAATAGGAAGCGCTTACCTAACTAGAACGCTAATGAGTAATAAAAAGTTGAAACGAAATAAATTTTGTTTTTGAATTTTTGCTTATTGCTTTTGTGGTTACCATTTGGACAAATAAAAACAAACTTGTAGTAGAGAAATTTTAAAATAAATCAAAATTAATATACTCCAACAATAAAAAGTTCAAAAAGAGCATTAAATCTTGTATAGAATTTCTTAAATTTTGCTTAAATCACAAATAAAATAATACCAAGCCGAAAAGAGAAGGCTAAAAAAAGGGCTTCCTTACGCCCAAGGATCAGTTGGTGGTATGCAGTCACTAACAATAGGATCGTCTTCGTTCTCGTCACTTGAGAATATCCAATCAATAAGTGCCCAAAAATCAGTACCTTTCAAGATTTTATTAGCAATCGGTACTAAGTTGTCTTCAATCAAATCAGCTAGAGTGTCTTGGTTCTCATTTAACAATGTTTCAACCAAATTTTCCACTTGACGATTGACGAATTTGTTAATACTACCATTACCCAATAAGCCATGAATCTCAGAATTGCATTTTTCTAAAGAAATTTCTGTACGCAAGGATGTAATTTTAATAGAACCCCAAAGTATAGGCATGTTATACCTCAGGACACCCGCTATGCGTACATTTTTTAAGCCAAACTTCATATCTCCGCTACCTTCGTATTTGACAAATAAACCTAATTCGCGCAAGGCGTTTAAAATGGTATCAGTCTCATAATCGTCAGCCGAAGCCTGTAGATAGCGGAACAAAAAGTCAAAAGTGATTTTTGAGGTGAACATATTAAGTTTAAATTTTTTAATTTTAAATTTATCCAAACCATCAATACGAAAGCGAGTGATTTTATCGGTAGTGCTGAAAAGTTAACACACGTTTGCTTATTTAAATATTCTCGGAAAGGTGACGTAACGTGAATATGATAATACTTACTTTAAAGGGCCCTTTTCAAAATGTAATTCTCCTTCACGTAATTTTAAAGGTGCTAATGGTGGTATTCCATATTCAGGCCAGCCGCAAGGCATTTGCAAGGCCAATTTGCGTAAAAGCCGCCGTATTTGCCAAGACAATATGAAACGTGGGCCAACTAAGGATGATTTAAGCTTAAATATGTTAAATTGATTTTAACCCATAATTCGTTTATCAATTCCACTTACTTTCTACTACACCATCATCGTCAGCCTCAAGTAAATCTATGCGTTGCTTGCCTTCCAAGAGTTCCAAAACATGTTGATCTACATCATAGGCCTTGGAAGTTAGCAAATCTTTACTACCTACCACTACAGTAGCGAATGCCAAAATTATTAGAAAACGCATAATTTTACTTATTGGTACTGGCGCTGCTTTTTACCCACTGATATTATTATTGAAAGTAAACGTTATTTTATAGCTGCCCTTTAAGAAAGTCTAGTGAAACTCTTTAATTTATGGTCACGGAGTCATGATCTTATCGAAAGATATTCGCATGTTATTCGACTTTTGTTTTTATTATTGCAGATTACGTTAACGATCAGCTTAAAATAGAATCACATCATAAAGTTTACCGGTGGTTATCAAGAAATAAAAAATGATAATGACAAGGGACAGTTTCTACTAGTTTCACTTATAATCTGGAGTTAATCCAGTATTTTTAGAAGAAATTCGAGCGTATTTTTATTACAGTCAACGAAGTATGACGGATATATTCATTGTCATTTGTCAAAACGTTTGCCAAGTCCCGAAGAAAGCTTCAGAGACCTCATAATGTGTTGCATTGTTCATAAACATCATGTTATGAAACGATATAGACATGATGGACATGCCTGTTTGTGTAATGTCTGTTGTAAACATTCTCCTAGCCGCAAAAATGAATATACTGACTTCAAATTTGGCAGAAATATTAGAAGCTCTTGCACGCAGGTTGGTATTCAAAAAAGGCAAAATCGGTTGAGGGACACGCCTACAATAAAGTGAGGACACCTTTGTTTTGCAAAAGAAAAAAAATAATGTTTTTTCTCATTACTCAAAACATATAGCAAACAGGTACGAAAATTTGAATGCATATTTTCTGTGAGAATGCAGTACAGTACGGTATAGTACCTGTATAAAAATAGGAAAAATTGACCACGCCTGCTCAATATTATAGTGCATCAAAACTTTGTTTTTTTTTTTTTTCAATACCCCTAACGTGCAGACACAAAGTTCGAAAACTCCATAAAGTATACAAATTATTGACCAGTTTCAATTGACCTATGTTCCACTATCGCTATGTCCGTCTGCTCAAGTGTACAACGTTTGTGGTAAAAATTCTCCTGTTAGCGAAATCGAAAATATCGCCTACAAATTTGCAAAAGAATCTGGATGTGGTGTAAAGTCTTGAAAGGACGTGTCTACAACGGCTATATGCCGATGCAACAAACACTTTAATTTTGAAAATAGAAAAGGTTAACCGCACCCACTGCATACAATAAAACGTGAGTGTGTAATTCTTTTATCTAATTTTGCCTTTTTTAGGTAATGGAGATGGGGATAAGGAATTCGGTCATAACGGAATATAACTTTCTCATTAGTTTATTAATAAGTTTTCTAAATTTCAGACAGATGTCCGTCTCAATTTTACTTGAAATTACCTCTGCGTCTTAAGTAACTAAATAAATATTTTATCTTTTATTCTTGAAATTTCCTTCTCGTATAGAGGAATGGTTTCAAAGTAGTAAAAAAAGAAAAGCGAAAACTGTTTAAAATTTTTAAATTATGTTTTTTTATTATTTGATAAAGTTTTCATATTTTCAGTAAATAATTGTCTGTCGATTCTTTAGGATCCATGGGGCTGGAGTCGGCTTACATTTGTTATTTGAACTTCCCAACATAGCGAGCACATTCCACAGTTTTTTACCCTTCAGCAATTCATTAACTTGCGGTACAAACAATTTTTCAATTGTGTCACTTATTTCCTCTTGATAACCATTTACAAAAGCTGGTATTAAAAACTCAATTTGATCGTTTATTAATTCATTGAGGGCACCATTACCCAAAATGCCGCCAATGCCGGACGTGACGCCGCCCAAATTTACTACAGCATTGAAATTGTATATCTTTATCGAACCAAAGAATATGGGCATTTTATATTTGAAAGATCCCTGTATTGATAAATTGTGCACAGTGAAATCCAAGGGGCCAGAACCTTCGTAGCGCACTGATAAGCCTAATTGCTGCAGCAAGTCGATGAAAGTATCAGTATTCATGGTGACAGCAGTAGCAGTTAGCTGCTTGAAACGGAAATGGAATTTGACTCTTTTGTTAAAGGTGAATGAGACCTTTAGCTTCTTGATTTCCATACCATCCAAGCCGTCAAATTTAAAACGCAGCAATTGTATTAGAGAGCTTCAATTGAAACTGAATAATACCGTCACGCCTTAATATATATGAGGACAAAATACTTACTCCACTACAGCTTCGGTTATGCGAACTTCTAAATTAGGATTGGTATAGGGAGCCAAAGGTGGTATGCCATGCTCAGGCCAACCGCACGGCATTTGTTTTATTATATTTTTAAATACTTTTTTGGCTTGAGAATTTAAAATCCAACCGTAATCATTGGGTGAGTCTTCTTAGAAAGATTTTTCCAATTAATTAAAAAAGCAGACAAGAGATAAATACTTAGAATTTACTTTTTTCGTTCGTCATCTGTTGATTGAATTCATCTTCATTTAACAATTCCACTTCGTAAGCGGTGACAAAAGCCAGTAAGGCCAAGAATGTAAAAACAAACTTCATGTTTTTTTTAAATTGTTAATTTTTAAGTCTTTAAAACTGAAAACAAAATGCTTCCGACTTAATAGTTTTTATATTTATAAGTAAATTTAAAAGTACCAATAATTTACGTTTTAAATTCTTTCTCGCTTTCGCGTCTCGAACTATTAACGCCTTATTTAAATCGAAAATAAGGAAAGCTATCATAACTGTGAGTAGTATCTTATCAAGAAACGGTGGCGTTAAAACAGTACAATGCAGTAACTGCGTCGATTAAATGTCATACTTATATACACATGTTTTTTTTTTTTTTTGGAATAACGGGTAAAACCTTGCTCCCATTTAACGCTTCGATTCTTTTTCATAGGAAAGAAGTTAAAGAACATATTAAAATCTGGTTTAGACTTCTTAACTAAAAACCATGGAAAAAAGTCAGGGCTATATTTAACATAACAAGGAAAGGAAATTAGAAAAATCTTTGGTAATCGTCGGCAGATCTATGAATTGATTTTCTGATTTGCGAGCCTAATGTGTACAAGTAAGAAAATAATATTCGGTCCTAGCCAAATCTTTTACACCCATATTCTACAAAGAGAAAAAGTAAAAAAGCTAAATTTTCATGTTATATAATAGGCACTGGGTGCGGTTGATTTTTTCTATTTTCAAAATAAAAGTTTTTGTCGCATAGGCGTGTGGACGTTGTAGACATGTCTTTTGAAAACGAACGGACGGACATGTTTAGGTGCATTCCATATTTGATATTGATCAAGAATTTATGTATTTTATAGGGTTTTTGAATCTTGTTTCAACGCGTTATAGAGGTACTGAAGATAAATTAAGTTTTGATACACTATAATATGTAGACGTGGTCAATCTTTCCCCTTTCTGTATAGGTCGGCAGCCTTAGAAGGCCTTTTCTAAGTTTCACTGCCCGTTGAATGAAATATTCTTATATACCAATAAAAAATTATTCGAAAATTGCTGGTGAATGATATCAGAGGAGAGGTGTAAAAATTTTTAATGCTCACTTTTGAAGTAAAGTTTTATCCTTTTCAAAACATATGAGTATTATTCAGCGTCCACGCTTCGGGTTAAACATATGAATTTTTAGGGATAAACTTATTAATTTACAGTAGACCTTCACATGACACAATGATTCGCTCCGTGTTGTATAAATTCATTTTATTCGACTCTCTTAGATCATACAATTCGTATTGAAATATATGTTTTCTATCTTTTCTTTTATGGACTTGGTCGCCATCTTAATTACTGAAACTAAGACGTAGTAAAATCGTAGCATCTGCGAGTATGTCTTTCTTCTTTTACCGTATAACACAAGCTTCTTTTAACACGTTGTACGTTCCTGATAACTTCGTTTAGAACGAAATTGAAAATTTTTTATATGTAAAGCCATATAAACCGAAAACTGTCTTTTTTCGCTGAATAGAAAAAAAAAAAAAAAATTTAAATAAAACATGAATGCAACACTTTAATCACGAAAGCCATAAAATAAATGTAAATATAAAAATCATAGTTGAATTAATTTATAAAATGGACACGAATACAACAATAGAACATCTATTTCATAAAATGAAAAGGTAACTCTTTCGATTTAAAAAAAATGGACAGAACAATAATTACTTATGTATGTATATACATTACATAATTATATAATTTAATTTCCTTTTTTGTTTTATATAATAAAATGCATATGTACATCTTTGCGTTTTTTTTTTTTTTTTTTTTTTTTAATTTGCAGTCGAAAAGCGAGTGTAAATTGAGGAATAGATGTATATTTAGTAACGAAATATTAGTGAAACTAATAGGAAAAGTTCAGTTTATAAGACATTTAATAAATAATTAGTAAATGCAGTTTAAAAGATTTGAAAATAATTGCAATAAAATGATAAAACAGCTCACAGCACCTGACATCGGATGATATCGATTGGACGACAATAGTGGGAGTGTAATAAGAAAGAGGAGAAAAAAGAACAACTTTACGGTAGCACCAGTTAAGATTATCTTTTGTTATTCTATAAAAAGGCAATTGCTGATAATGCGTGTCGTTTAATTTAATAAGTAAACATTAGGCCAACGTTTCTTTTGTAGTTGAGAATAGAATTTTGAGAAGGAATCATGAAAGCGCTAATAGTCTTATCGATTTGGTTGGCTTTGGCCGCTTCCCAAAAGGAACTCAATGCATCGGGTGAGTTTACCTTCGATTTAGAATTAGTTCCTTAACCTATTTCAAAAGAAGAGGCAAAAGAAAAACAAATTCAAATGTATGTAAATCGTAGATGAACGTTCGATATCTAGTGCAATCGTTGAGGTCATCGAAGGTGTAAGAGATCAAATGCCATGCGGTTTCCCATCTATGGGCATTCCACCTTTAGCACCCTTAAAACTGTCTCACAAGGAAATAAATATTAATTTTATGGGCTTAAGTATGAACGGAGCTGTCGACAAATTTCGTTTGATGGGCTTAAATGATTTCGAAATTATTGAAATGAAAGTTAATGCTTTGACAAGTAAAGTTAACTTTCGTTTTATATTTAACCACATTAGTATGGATACCATGTACGATATTCAAGCGAGATTGAGAAAAGCCGGATTGACGGTTAATCTTATCGGGGCTGGTCATGCTAATTTCGCTATCAAAGATATGCAAATATGGGGCGTTTTAAAATACTCATTGAGTTTGTCAACGGGTAAAATGAAAATCAAAGGTTTAGAAATACGCACTCACATCGGTGATGCGTATTCGGATATTCAAGGTATCTTCGGTAAGGGTTTAATCAATCGCAAAATTAATGCTTTATTGTCGGAGGTAACAGAATTACTTGTTAACACCAATGAAGATATGATCACCGAAAACGTAGAAAGTTTGGCTGTGCCTATTATTAATCGTTTCTTGGATAAGTTTACGCTGGCAGATGTTGTGGGCGCCATCGGTGGAAGCGGTGAAGGTGAAAAAGAACCTTGCATACCGGAAGAGGAAAATTGATTTAAATTTTATCGTAAGAACAAAAAAAAAGAGTTAAAAAAAATTTATTACACATATTTTAAATTTATTTTATTAAATTAATTAAAAAATGTTATCTCCAAAATATATTTTTGTTTTGTTAAGCAATTAAATCATAATTTGTTGCGATAAGAAATTATAGTAAAGGAATGTTGGTAATCCTTTATAGATTAATTATTTATTGATTAGCTTACCAAAGTAAATAAGTTATCAATTTAACGGTTGGTAAAGAGCAGATAATGAACACTTAATCATTAATATTTTTGTAGTATAAAATTTTCGTTTGTTCAAAAAAATTATTTAGTTCGTTTTTAGCACTCAAAGTAAAACAAAGGAAACTTGGAAAAATGAAATTTTTTATAGTCTTATTTGCTTTAATCAATTGCATAGCAGGGGAAGACCTACTAAAAGAACAAAACGAAAGTTAGTAACTGAATGATATCTAATAAGATACGAAAATTTAATTTTTCAATATAAAACATAATAATTTATCTCAATAGATCAAGTTCGCTCAATATCCGATCAAATTAAGGATCAAATCGAAGCTGCCAAGGAACAAATGCCTTGCGGTTTTCCTGGCCTGGGTATACCGCCATTAGCTCCGCTAAGAACTTCGCATCAAGAGTTAAAATTGAATAAAGGCTTTTTGTTTGCTGAGGGCGAAATTAAGGATTTTCGCTTGGACGGCTTAAACGATTTCGATATTGATGAACTGAATTTTAATTTAATTAGTCAAAAATTAAAATTTAAATTTACCTGGTCCAAAATCCATTTTAAGACGGATTATGCTTTGAAAGCGGGCTTTAATAGATTGGCTGTACACCGAGCCGGCGATGCTACGTTTGCTGTTCATAACGCGACCGTTTGGGGTACCATACGTTATTCAATAAGTCTGAGTGGTACGGCTCAGTTAAAAGAACTGAGTTTATACGCCCAATTGGATGATGTGGAATCAGACATCAGCGGCTTATCAGATAATAAAATCATTAACAAGAAATTGAATGAATTTGTAGAGGAATGGGTTACTCTGGCTGTTAATGAAAATACTGACAATTTAGCTGAAATAACTAATCAGTACGCTAAGCCGATTATTAATGAATTAATTAGAGGTATGAATATTCTTGATTGGATATTGGGAGGTGGTGGTAATGATCCTGAAGAAAAAGAGCCATGTATACCACCGGAAGATATTTAAAAACAAAATTTGAATCACATTTTTTAATCTATAAATTATAGTGAATTCCTTTCCGAAGGTCACCACATGGTTTGGTTAATCATTCAGTGGAAATTGATACAAATAAATTGATAAACTGATATTACGACTTATGATAAAAGCACGCAGAAAAACTCGGTCTGCGTTATTAAATACCTATTTGTTCATAACACATTTGTGGATTTCAGATTTATTCCCCTTCATAGGGGTCCCCAGGAGACCTTTGGGTAATATGATGATGGAAGGAAATGATTGCATGACGATTGTGCAGATAATTCTTCACAAGAATATTTCCTCCCTCAAAATTGTAGCTTCTCTTGATAAATTCAGTTGGTTTTCTCATCCCATTTTTGTCACTTTTCAGTTACTTTGGATATTGAATATATTACTGTCCACTTAATTATCGGTTAAAAAAGCACTTTTATACTTTTTCTAAACTCAAATATTATTGTTTATAAAAAGCACAGGTTCATAAAATAACTGAAAGAAAAGTATAAAGGAGAACGTTCGGAAGGGGAGGGGGGCGTACATGAAAATTTCAAGAAAAAAATCATTCTGTCTCCGATTATAATTTATTCTGTTGTTGAAAACAAATTTTCTCTATTCGGTTGCAATATTTATCGCAACTACTTGTTTACGATTAACACTCTTTCTTAAGGTAAATTTAATTCTCTTAATCCAAGGTGACTCCATAAATTTCTCAACGTTAGAACAAAGCTCTCTCATTTGATTAGTTTGTGCCCTATGATGCTTATAAAACGACCGACAATCTTGTAATTTCATACTTTTTTGTTAAATTCTTTTTTCTTTATATAAATTTCTCTTAATTTTATCCTTCCCGCGTTTATTCCCACCAAATAAATGATTGTGTAGCACTCAAACCTAGAAAAATTACCCCTCACGATAAGGTACATACTGGGTACATACGAGTCTCCGTCTTGCATTCTTGAAAATTGTACAGAGCTCTACAGCGTCATTGTAATCTTTTTCTAGTATTCTATATTCTTTATACATTGAAAATCTGTATCTAATCTCGCATTTTATAAAAGCCATAACAGACATGTAAATGGAAACTACTTTAAGGGCTCTTACTCACTTTCCTACAAGCATTGATAAACTTTATGCTCTACAAACTTATGCAAACTATTTCAACGGATCTTAATTTCTTTATCGGGACGCATTTGTAAGAGGCAGGCCAACTTCCAAAAATTCCTTTGAATTCACCTCTCATGCCTTTAAGATCTATTTTAAAGGTACACGATGCACTAGTTTTAGTATAGGTCCTTTAACAGAATCAGCTGCAAATTATTATTATGGAAATTATGCTGTCTACGGATTTCCTTATATTTATTGAAGCTTCTCCCAGTTCCATTATAGATCCTTAAAGGTGCTTGTCAACTCAGCTCAACCTGGCGAAATTTACGTGACATCACGAGCTACTTAAGCCGCTAAAGAGTAGTCTTAATTTATACATGATTGATCACGAATTCCTTAGTAAATTAAATTAAATAGATTATTACAAATATATATATCCTTACATTTACAGGAGAAAGGCTTGTCACAAACGTTCCTCTCACATATAAAGTTGATAAGAGCTTTCATTTACACACAGGTCTTACCGAACGGTACAAACTTCATTTATTTTTTGAAAAAGTTTTTCGTTCAGACGACTTAGTCAACATAAATTTTGTTATGAACTATGTAAATCAGCCGCGAGTCATTTGGACAAATCTACATGATGTTTACAAACTAATCCCTTTACCGAATTTCTAATTTATCATTAAATTTATTCTTGTCAATGCGCGAGGCACTATCACACTTAGATTAACCATAGTCCATTGGCAGACACGTTCGTAGATTTTACGCTTTTCGAAGAGCAAAAGAATGAGCTGGAATTATGTTCCCAATTCTCAAGAAATCCATTAGACTTTTCTTAACCATGAGGTTGATAATATTTATGAATACAGATATTAGCGAAATTGATCTGAAATTACTTAAATTATTACCTTAGGAATGGGAGCTATCGCAAATCTAAGGGTATGAACTAGACCAGCAGTTATTAATTGCATGCTTTCAGCGAAAACGAAACTCAGCCTTTTCCCGAGCATGCCTTTTGTTTTGTTTAGCTTTCCTTTTATTTTGTGTGTAAGCACGATACTCTATGCATACACTACAATATCCAGTTACTTGAGATATACATTTTTTTATTATATATCCTTGTTTCAGCGCAAATTTACCCAAGCAGATAATGGGCTATCTAGATTTTACATATTCTAAGCAGTCAAAAGGATCATTTATTAGCTCAGGTGGAGTCCTAAAATTTTTAAATTCTTATGCGGTTTACTTTCACTTACGTGACCATATTAAATTTTAACATAAAGTTTTAAGGATACGGCCATACAAAAACAAGCACACCGGCATGAGTTATGATCAAAATACCATCTACAAACGGCACACATGCATGAGTTGTGATCAAAATACCATCTACAAACGGGACACTTGCATGAGTTGTGATCAAAATATATATTGGATCCAATCGATTGTACACTTACTTTGAGTCTTAACTGAGCTCTGTAAAACAGTTTGGTTTGTGCCTTTGCTAGTTAGATACAACTTTACATCTTACTTGGATGCATTTTTTCCGTTCCCTTTTCTTTTTCTTTTTTCTTCTTCATTTACTTATTTATGTATAGAACCATCTAGTGTTATAATGTCATAGCTATTAACACCGCAATAAATGTACACATCTTACAAGTTGATTGCTTTCTTTTTTTATTATTTTTCTATAAGTTTAAGTGATTGTAGATGCATCAATATATTATGTTAATTTTTGTTTTATAAAAATTTTAAATTTTTTCTGTCCACGATATTCGGTGACGTGTTTCAATTGTGGAGGCTGGCCACGCTTTTCAGTAGTCGTGGAGTCTTTTTAGTTAATTTTGTGCTAATGTATGTTAAGGATGTTATGCATGTTAAACAGTCTTAAACAGTCTTAAACACTTCTGACCACTTTGAAAAAATAGAAACCATATAAAACCTTTTAAACAGTCTTAAACATTTCTAAATACCTTTAAATTTAAAAATAATCAACTTTATGACGAAGACCGATGAAGACTAATATGATCTATTGATAAGAAAAAAGGATTTACCATAATCCGGTAACGTCGCTTCCATATGACGACACCTACCAAAAATGTGCCTTTGTAATTGCAAAATTTTAAAGAGTGAGCAAATAAGACTTTTCTTTTTCTTCTTCTTTTGTTATTCAGCAAATTAATAACCGAATAATCGCTGCGAATTGGAATGAAAGCTGCTTTTGAAACTTTAAACTTGATTATTGTACGCTATTCAACTGAGTGCTGTTCCACAGCCCTTACAGACGTTATGACTTTGGAAAAATATACCAATTTGGTTATCTGTTATCAGGTGAAGTCGTATCTTGCGTAAGGTAATTGCCGATCTTGGGCCGACTTAACGTTTTTATTCATTTTTCATTTTTTGCTTTTAGTTGCTGTTGAAGTTTCCATTTGCCACCGTTTACCATTTCATTTTGAAGCAGCCTATGCGGCGTCAGCACAAGTCGAGCTTTCGTGTGTTTCGAGTATTTCGTTAAATGCTGTACGCGATCTTTACTACCTTGGAAATCGCAAGCGAAATAACGGAATGAATATAACTAACCTGTAACTCTACATTTTTAAGAAAGCTAAATGATCCAGTTTTCCCACATTTTTAAAATAATCCCTTCATATTTGACGAGTTTAATGATTATTCCGCATTGCCCCCCGTGAATTGTAAGACACCCTATATCATTCATTCAAATCGAATGATGTTGTAACATGCATCAATAAGTTTTTTTTTTTTTTTTTATTCTTAATATCAGCAGCGATTCCATAATAATTCAGCCATAAAAACCATTAGATGACCATTTAATGACATGTTTTGGGGTCAATGGTTATTTCAAGTATCGTTTAATTTTGCTGAATCCATACAGTAGTAGCTGAATACAGAACAGGAAAATACAAGCAAATAAGTACTTAAATAATTTTGAAACTGCTACTGGCTTGTATTTCCAGAATAGTGAAAATTTTAGCTGATCTAATTTAGGTGTAAAAAGCAATTCTGGATCGGATATATTCCCAATTTATAATGTTTATGAGACTTGGGATAAGCGTCTGTTAATAACCGAATTAAGATTAACGCCTTTGATAATTTCGTAATTAAAAAGTTACTGAATTTTTCAAATATTATTATATTATGTTCACATTTCACCACATATACTTTATATTTTCTTTCCCGATTATAGAGGTGATATGTAGACCAAATCCTGTTTTCGGTCACGCGCGCGCATACGCATGGGAAAAGATTAATATTTATGTTGATTAACAGTCAGCGGCTCAGTTGTAAAATGTTGTTGGGTACATTCTAACAAGTGGTCGCTCATTTAATTACACTCTTAAGTTGTGAAATTCGAAGTTCATCATTCTTATTGAGTAACGCCTCTACCGTGACATCTTTGGTTAAATTTTGTAAGTATCGACAGCGACACATAGCGTCAGAAGTTTTTACTGAAGTGCAAAAGCGTATTTCTTATTTGAGTGGAGACACGGACCATAATGGTAAATGTTATAAGTACATGGTATGTTGCCAGAGGAAAAGCATGAAAATTCTATTATAGCAGGCACAGGGCAACATAAAAAAAGTTGTTTTAAAAACTAACACTAAACTTAAACAAAATAGAAAATACAACTCCAACAATATATATCCCCTTATACACACATATATGCGTATAGACATATAAATTTGTAATCTTATATAGCCACGCCAGTTAGTCGAGTGTACTCTAAAATTGCTTCCAACTTTTCCTTCTACTTCCAATACTATTTCATTTTTAGCATAATTATCATAATCCATGTAATTTTTGTTATTAGAGGTTTGTAGAGGGTACTTGGATCATAATACGTGCAGGTGGGGATATAAGAGATTTGTAGACGGTATTTGTGTTTATATAAGAGGTTTGTAGACGGTATTGGTTTGATTATTAGCTGTTTGTAGAAGGTATTAGTTTGGTTAATTGCGGTTTGTAGAGTACGGCAAACACACAGT